CTGCTTTAGAGTAACTTTACTTCTTAAAAAGAAGAATAGTCCAGATGCGGTAGTGCACACCTGTAATCCCAGCACTCGGGAGGCTGAGGCAGGAGGGTTGTTAGAGTTTGAGACCATCCCAGGCTACAAAGTGAGCTCAAGGCCAGCCTGAACTGCATAGAGAGACCTTGTCTCAAAAAGAGAAATACACACAAAAAGAAGAATGAGTTTACAAGTCAAAATGGATTAAACACTTAAAGGGAAGACATGCTTCAGGACATTAGAATCATTAGAACATATTTTGGGTAAGAACTCAAAAGGACAGGAAACAAAAGTAAAAACAGACAAATGGGAGTGTATCAAATTAAAAAGCTTCTGCACAGCAAAAGAAACAGAGTGAAGAATAGATGGAGAAAATATCTGCTCACAATTTGTTGACAAGGGCTTAATATTTAGAATATGTAAGGAACTCATACTGCAAAACCCCAAACAATTCAATTTAAAAATGGACTAGAGACCTAAGTGGACAATTTCTCCAAAGAAGACACACAATTGGCCAATAGATCTATGAAAAATGCTCAGCATCGCTAATCATCAGAGAAATGGAAGGAAAAATCACAGTGAGCATCACCTCATCCCAGTTAAGATGGCTGCTGTCAAAAAAGACAAAATATATCATGTACCAGTGAGGATGTAGGCAAAACTGTTGGTCATAATGTAAATTAGCCAATATAGAAGACAGTGTGGAGGTCTTCCCTGAAATTAAAGATTAACTGCCATATGACACAGCAATCTTGCACTGGGTATATATAAAACCAAATCAGTATATCCAAGAGACATATGCACTGTCATATTCATTACACACTATTCACAACTGCCAAAAAACTGCAGCAACCTAAATGTCTATCCACTGACAGTAAAGAAACTGTGTATATACACAGTGGGAAACTCTTCAGCCAACAAAGGATGAAATCTTGTCATTTGTGACACCATGGATGGAACTAGATAATCCAGGCAGAGGAAGACAAGTAGTGCACAAGCTTACTCTCTGTGGAACCTAAGAAGGTCGATCTGGTACAAGTTCACAATAGAACAGTGGTTCCTCGAGGCTGGGAAAAGCAAAGGAATGGCAAGAAGTTGACCAGTGACATGAAATTACAGTTAGATAGACTTTCCAGCTTTCTGCTACACAGCAGGATGCCTGTAGAGGACAATAATGTATAATATATTTGTTAAAATCCCAGAAAGATTTTGAACGTTTTCACCATAAATGATAAATTTGTGAGGAGACAGATATACTTACCCTGCTGTGATCATTACATGATAGATACATGTATTGGAATGTCATGGTGTTCCATAAATATGTATATTTTTTATGTCAATCAAAATAAATACATAAATATAAAGGAGAAAGATTTTAAAGAGAGGTATGTGAGACTTGATGAAATAAGAAATGCAAGAAACTCTGGAGAAATAAGAATTATGTAAATGTTAAAGTATAATTCTGGTTTAGTGCACTTTTATAGTAATAATCTTTTTCATCATATAACTGCTTATGCCAGGCACTGTGACATACTTTATAGTATCTTATTTACTCCTTTTAATTGTTTAATTTTTACTGAGGATTACACTGAGCTACATCCCTAGATTTCTTTTATTTTGAGGCAGTGTCTCACTAAGTTGTCCAGGCTGGGTTCAAACTTGGCAATTTGGATGCAAAGCGCTGGGACTACAGGCGTGCACCACCATGCCCGGTCTCACTTAATCCTTCTATAGTAGCTTATATTAACTCAGATGAAACTCACTCATCCAATGAGGTAGGCATTATCAACCCCACTTTACAGATAAGAACAAGGACAGGGAAGTCAAGAAACTTGATCAAGGATACAAGGATCATAAAGCAGGCAAGCTACACCTCTAACTCTCCTCAGATGGACTCGAAGCCCACATCCCTCCACTATACACATCATCCTCTCCGTCCCTTCCTGTCACATTCCTAAGGCTGAGTGCACTCAGAGAATTTTGCATGAAGGGATCAGCTTGTTCAAGTCCAGAGTAACAGGAAGCACGTTATGGACATTTTTTACAGAATTAGGTACAGACTTGAGCGGGAAACAGAGTGGCATGAAAGGCATGAAATCAGATTGGAGGCAGGCAGATGTCAGATCACGTAGGGTCTTTTAACTGTATTGTGGATTTGGGACTTTAATTAACCTTAAGAGAAAACTACTGAAAGATTTTCAGCAGGTAAATCACGTGATCAGTCAGATGTGTATGTTAGGATCACTGTGGCTGCCTATAGGATATGAGTCAGTTAGGTAATTTCAATACTTGGGGCAAGAGATGAAAGCTTTACAGAGATGGTAAGAGAGTACATTGGAGGCCAGGCATGTAGTTCACTACTCTAATCCCACCACTTGGGTGGCTGAGGCAGGAGGATTGCCAGGACCACACAGTGAGCTCAAGGCCAGTCTGAACTAAGTAGTGAGACCCTGTCTCAAAAAACAAAACAAAACAAAAAAAGAGAGAATAAATTGGAGAAATATTTTAGAGGCCAAACTGATAACATTTGAAGATAAATTAGATAGTGGAGTGTGGAGGGGTGGAGATTCCACTTCTGATTTTTCATTATGACCTTTTTTTTCTGTACCAGGGACTGAACTCAGGACTTTCACTGAGCTACATCCCCAGTCCTTCTTTATTTTGAGACAGGGTCTTGCTAAGTTGCTAGGTCGCCTAGGCTGGATTCCAACTTGTGATCCTTCTGCCTCCACCTCCCAGAGTGCTGTGATTACAGATGTTTGCCACTATGCCTGGCTTTTTTGGATTTTTGAAGACAGACAAGGAAAGAAATTTAACATTAACTAGAAGAATAAGCTTAAGGTCCTGATTATTCTAGATTATTAGTATCTGTTTCGCCAAAAATTATTGCATTAGTTTCCTAAGGTTTCTAGAACAAATGATCACAAGTGGCTTCAAGCATTAGAAATATGTTCTCTCACAGCTCTGGAGGGCAGGAGTCTGAAATCATGCTGTTAGCAGACCCACTCCTTGTGAAGTCTCTCTGTGTAAATTCTTCCTTGCCTCTTCCCTGTGTATGGGCACTCCTCAGAATTTTTCACAGTCTTTGGCTTATACCTTTGCCACATCCATGTCCAATCCTCTCTTCATACTGTCCTCTCTGTTCATCTCTGTCCTTTCTCCTTCTCTAACAAGGACAGCAGTCATTGGCTTTAGGGTGCATCCCTTGCCCAGGGTGAGCCACCAAGAATCTTTAACTAGTTAAATTTCCCAACTAGTTACATCTCCAAATAAATACAGTCATATTTGGAAGCTCCAGATGGTCGTGGAGTTTTGGGGAACACTATTCAACTCTCTATCCTCAGCATTATTTTTGTTACATTTGTTTTTTCTTGTTATCGTCATCAGTATCCTCATCAACACTACTGCTACCAGTCACCCTCATTAGCACTTGTAAGGCAAGATGCACTGCTCTAACGTCTTCATTTTGTCACAGGGCTGGGGGACTCCAGTCATACCCAAGTCTGCTACGATGAACTGCAGGCCTCAAATATAGTTCTACTCATAACTGTAATTTATGATGTAAAAGAATACACAGCAAAACCAGCAAAAGGAAAAGGGCTTGTCTTAGTCACTTTCTTATCCCTGAGACACAATCCCCAACATTCACAACTTCAAGGAGGCCAAGTTTATTTGGGTTCATAGTTTTACTCCCTAGTTGTTTGGCTTCCAGGCAAACATGGCATGAAAAGGGCCGGGGTGGACTGAGGTTGCTCACATCATGGTGAGCAGGAAGCAGAGCTCAGTGAGAAGCAAGGGAGGGAGAGACGCCCTTCCAGATCACGTCCCCAGTAAACCGTCTCTTCCTACCACGCCCCACTGTTTAAAAGCAAGTCAGCTGTGGATGCTTCAGCATTCTCTGTGATCCAGTCACCTTCCAGAAGTCCAACTTCCTAACACACAAGGCTTTGGGGAGATAGTGTAGATCTAATCCAGTACCGGTGTTCAAGGTGAAGCCCAGGGGAAATCAGTCGCAAGCTTCCAATGAACTGCAAAGGACATACTTAATGCTTCTAGAGTGGAATCTGACAACACAGGTAAAGTGTGGCCTGTACCTGTCAGACTCAGTACCCAAGTGCTTACTGGGGCTGATCATCTAGGCTCCCTCTGCCTGCCCCACATCAAAATCCCAGAAAGGAGGCATTCGGCATAACCCACACTGTACAAGCACTCTGGGCACACACGTTTATCAGCTAGGGAATAGCGGAAACACTCCTGAAATCAGGTTCCCACATGCCAGCAAAGGGCCCCCTCTGTCAGCAGGCATTTCTGAGGGTAACAATCTTAGGCCTGCTCCATTAGCTCTTTTCTGCATAAACTACTTAATCTTCGCACCAAAGAAATTAAAGTTCAGTGAATTTAGCTGTGTCAGAATTAGGCAATCTGATCTTAGTCCTGTATTCTAAACCACTATGAATGGCTGGGTGACTGACTGACTGATACGCACTGGGAGCGAACCCAACATTCAGAGCACATGCCTTGCCACTGAGCTGTACCGCAGCCAAGCCGGCTGCCTCATTTTTAAGGCTGCCTAAAATCAAAGGAAGAAAAAGTTCCAACAGACTCAAGTTGGAGAAAAATTACAAAGGCAAGTAGGAAAAAAAGACTATGATTTTAAAAACATTGTAAAATGAGTAACAAAGTAGTCATAACATAAGGGAAACTCCATCAAAATAAATCATAGGCTAAACAATTTTACAAATACTATTTATAAACATTGAATGTTTAAGAACAAAATTACTTGCCTATTAGCGATTTTAATTTTTTTTTATTTTAATATTTTAAGAAGATTAAAGAAAGCTAAAGGCTTAGCCAATTAACACAATTGAGGGATTAAGAGATTTCCTTTTACCTTTGAGGGAAATCGTTAAAATATAAAAAAGAGCATGTGTATGTGCACAGCAGTGGGCAGCCTATTGGGATTTTGTTTTATTCTTTACCTAACGGAGTGATGTCCTGAAGTATAGTCCAGTTTTCCAAATTTCTGTGTTCTGTAACCATGCTTTTCCATGATATCCATCCATGTTGTATAATTTGGGTCCAAACCCTTAAAATTATTCCAAGATTGTGTTAAGTGAGTGAAGAGGCCACTCCACATTGCTGAAGAGAAAAAGACATTGAGATGAAAGTAAAACTCAATCATTTGTTTTAACTGTTAAGGCAGTCACTCTGAGACAACAGTTCAGTATTGTAAAGCACAAGTTCGGGAACGTGATGCACCATGATTAGGTGCTTGTGACGGTTAATCTGGATTGTTGATATGACTGGATTAAGGGAGACCTAGCAGATTAGGAAAGCACACTTCCGAGTGTATCTGGGTGGGTAAGGGATGTGACCCTGTTCCTTTCTTTTCTAGGGCTCCTCCCTGTGCTGTGCTGCCTGGCCACCAGAAAGCAAGTGCCCTGCTCCCGCATGCCCTTCCGCCATGTTTTCTCTGCCTCGCCTCCAGCTAACCATGGACCGAGGTCTCAGAAACTGAGCTCAAATAATGCTTTCCTATTTGAATTGCGGGTATCAGGTATTTTTGTTCCCACAGTGGATAACCTGACCAATACAGTGCTGAATTTAGCAGGAATTTCTGATTTTTGCCTCATTTTAGTAGTGGGAAAACTCTGCAAGAAGTTACTATTTCCATTTAAGAGGAGTTAGCTGACCAAGGATGACAGGTTAAGTTGCTTAAGGTTAATACAGCTGGAATTAAATATAAAGCCCGAGTGGCTTTTGGGTCTTTTTTCAATCACAAAAGCAATCTCTAAGTATTTATTGGTTAATTTTCTAAATCATAAATCAGTCAATTGAAGCATAGACCTCCTTCCCCAGCATTCTCAGGGATTTTCCCTATTCTTTGTCCTTTCACTGTCTTTTCATAAAATATTTGAGTGCTTTATGTTTTTGCTGTCATTTTCTGGCTTTTTATTAAAAAATGCTTTCCTTTTTCTCATTTCTATGTACGTACATAGTAAATTTTTTGTTTGTTTGTTTGTTTTTTGTTTTTTTCTGATACCAGGAATCAAACTCACGACTTTGCGCTTGCCAGGCAGGCGCTGTGCCGCTGAGCTAAATCCCCAGCCCCTGCACATAATAAATTGTTTAGTGTTACTTATGGGCTCCAGTGGAGACTAGAAAGGCACAACAAGGGGAAAATGACTGTCAGACAATAGATGGGATTTATGAGTGATGGGTTTTCCTTTTTTCTTTATTATTCATGGCTTAATTTCACTGGTATTTTGCCATTAAAACTATGTCGCTTGGTTAAATTAGTGAACAATTACATTCATGATAGAACTGAACTGAGACTGGAGAGAAAGATAAAGTATATAATCTGAAATAATATGTAAAAATTCAGTCTTGAATTTTAAAGTCCACAGAAGCCTTCCCTATACCCTTATTACAAGCTTCCTAGGAAGTAGAGCTGTTCTAGGAACTATAATTATTTCCTCATGTGCTTCAATAGTCAAAAGATGCTTAGTCACCAATTATAAGGAAATGAAATGGAAATACATGAACTAAACAGTATTCTAGACAGTATAAAAAGTCCTACTCCAAAAAACCTAGAAATTCGAATAACCTCAATATCTAATATGTACTTGACAGCACACGTGTCTTACATTACGAATTTAGGTGTCAAATACTAAACTTTCCTAACTTGCTTTTGGCTATAATTTTCTAAACTGTGAATGTATTTCCAGGGTAGCCACTTTTCTCCATTAACACTAAGCACGTTTATACCTGCGCGTGACGGGCAGCAGATTGGAGAGTTGGTGTAGGCATTCAGAAAGGAAGTGCCGTGCGTCTTCATGAAGTTGATAAAAGGAAGTTTCACTACTTGACTTCCTGGATGAAATGTTAGCCTTCCATCCTGGAATAAAGAAATTTCATCAACACTGACTGTACTAAAAACAAGAAAATTATTTTCTTTAATTTTAACCTTAAAATTCACAACAGCAGAAGACTCCAATACGGTTTTCTGAAAGATACATCAAACATAGAATGTTACCCATTTCTAGCACACAGACACATAGAATTCAACAGTGTTACACTTAATTCAATTGAACACAGTAAATAAATTAAAGGGCTTCTGGAAAGTTCTTTTGGGGAATGATAGACTAACTCTACAAGTATTTATTGAATATGCACTAGATGTTAGGCATAGTGGTAAATAGCTACCACAATTTTAGAATCTTATCACCATGTCCAAAAGAAACCCTGTATTCCTTAGCTATAACCCTCTATTCCCCCAATCCCAAAACAACTACTAACCTTTCTATCTGCATATATTTGCTTTCTCTGAACACTGCTTATAAATGGAATCATACAAAAATGTGGTCATTTATGACAAGCTTCTTTTACTCTGCACAAAGTTTTCTAGGTTTCAGCCACACTGTAGGATCGACTCTTCCCCTCTTTTCTGCTCCCCCTTCATTTTTTCTCTCCCTCCCTCTGTTTTTCTCTTTCTTGTGCTGAGTGTTGAGCCCAGGGTCTCATATGTGTTAGGCAAGTGCTGTAACGCAGAGCCATACCCGCAGCTCTGCATTTCTTTTTTATTGCTAAATAATATTACCAAACTTTATTTATCCATTTATCAGTTGATGGACATTTGGGTTGTTTCCATTTTCACTTTTTAGTATAATATTGGTAGGAATGTTCACATACAAGTGTTTGTGCGGTGTCTGTTTTTGTTTTTCTTGGCTATGCAGGAGTAGAACTGCTGGACTGTGGGGTAAATGTACGGCTGCAGAGAGTTTGGAGGAACTGCCAAACTCTTTCCCAGGGTGGTTGCACCATTTTACATTCCCACCAGCAGTGTATGAGAGCCCCAATTCCTCTATATTCTCCACAACTCTAGTTACTGTCTTTTATCATAACCTAGTTACAATCTTTTTAAATTTTTTATCATAACCTAGTTACTATCTTATCTTTTTTATCATAACCTAGTTACTATCCAGTTACTATCTTTTTATTATAATCATCCTTGTGGGTATGAACTGGTATCACATCATGGTTTGATTTATATTTCCCTTAGGGGTGATGCTGTTGAGCACCATTCCTGTGCTTATTTGTCATCCTGTGTATCTTCCAGAGACAAGTGTCTAATCAGATCTTTTGTCCATTTTCTAAAATGTTTACCCCAAGATTACAGAGATTTTGCACAATGGTTTTTTGTAGGCATTTTATAATTGTAGCTTTTAACATCTGATTAATTGATTTAATCTAATTTTTGTCTGTGATGGAAGGCAGGACTTCATTATTTTTCCTGTAGATATTTAGTTTTCATAGAATCATTTTTTAAAAGATTATTCTTGCCAGGTGTGGTGGCACATACCTATAATCCCAGCACTCAAGAGGCTGACACAGAAGTACCTTGAATTTGAGGCCAGTCTAGGCTCCATAATGAGCTCAAGGCCAGCCTGAACTACATAGCAAGACCATTTCAAAAAAAAAAGAAAAACAAAACAAAACAAGAAAAACCAATAAACCATTATTCTTTTCCTATTAAATGGTCATAGCACCCTTGTTACAAATCAATTTATTATAAGAATTTACTTTCAAATCTATTTCACTGATCTGTAAATCTAATCCATCTTTACGCCAGTAACACATGATCTTGATTTTTGTACCTTAAAATACATTTCATGGATCTGTATATCAATCTATCTTTATTCCAGTAACAGGTTATCTAGATTACTTAGTCATAGACAGTTTGAAAGGGACTGCACTGAATCTGTAGATCAATTTGGCTGGTATTGCTATATTAACAATAGTAAGTTTTCTAATCCATGAAAATGGATGTCTTACCATTTTTTGATGTGTTTTTAAATTTCTTTCAACAATGTTTTGTAGTTTTCAGAGAATACTTGTTTGGTATATTTATCTCTAAGTATTTCATCCCATTTGATGTTACTTTATGTAGACCGGTTTTCTTAATTTTAAGTTTGTTGGTCAATTAAGTGTATAAGAATTTAGTTGATTTTTTTATATTGATCTTGTATCCTATAATCTTGTCAATTTATTATTCAGTGCTTTTGAAGTAGATTCCCTAGGATTGTAGATACAAGATTGCTGCAAATACAAATGCTTTCCAAATAGGGGCGTTTTATTTAATGTTCTTGTCTAATTCTCTGGCTAGAATTTCCAGTACAATGCTAAATAGAAGTGGTGAGAACAATCTTTGTCTTGTTCCTGATCTTAGAAAACATTTAGTCTTTTATCATTCAGTATAATATTAGCTCTGTCTTTATTTTATTTTCTGTAAATACCCTTTACCAGATTCAGAAAGTTCCTTGGTTGAGTGCTTTTATCATGAAGAGCTATTGAATTTTGTCAAATGATTTTTTCTGCATCTATTGAGATGATCACAAGTGTTTTGTTCTTTACTCAGTTAATATGGTATATTTACAGCAATTGATTTTCAGAAATTAAGTCAACTTAATTTGTGGATAAATCCACCTAGGCATAGAGTATACTTTTTATATAATGATAATTTTATTTGCTAGTATTTTTTTGAGGATCTTTGCTTCTGTATTCCTAAGATTATACATGCCTGCATGTGTGTGTGTATCTCTGTGTGTGTGTGTGTGTGTGTGTGTGTGTGTGTGTATTTGTCTGCTTTTGAAGTCAAGCACACGGTTCCAATACAACAAGTTTGGAAGTGTTTCCCTGTTCTATTTTTTTTGGAAGAATTTATGAGGAGATATTATTCTTCTTTGACAGAATTTGTCAGTGAAACTATCTGGGCCTGGGCTTTTTGTGGAGTAGTCTTTAAGTTACCAATTCAATGTCTTTGCCATAGGTCTATTCAGGCTATCTATTTCTTTTTGAGTCACTTTCAAGAGTATGTGTCTTTCTAGGACTTTTTCCATTTCATCTAAACTACCTAATTGTTAACATACCATTCTCATACACTATATAAGGGAATATTAATCTTACCTTAAAATTCTTTTATTTCTATAAAGTAATGTTACCTCTTCCTGATTTTGGTAATGCAAGTGTTTTTCTCTTCTTCTTCTTCTTCTTGATTTTATAGCTAAGGGTCATGTTTAACAATCTTTTCAAAGAATCAACTTTTGGTTTCACTGATTTTCTCTATTTCCTTAATTTCTGCTGTCATCTTATTTCCTTCCTTGGCCCTAATGAGTTTGGAGCAAGGGTGACTGGGCCTTAGTATTCTCAGCGTCTTCCTGCTGTACAGAGCCTCCGTCTTCTAATGTGAAGTGAGTGGCGAATGGGAGCTCCCTATGTCTCCCATTACTAGCTGCTTTTACTTGTAATTTAGCCTGTTCAACTTGGACCTGCAGGAGATGAGAAATGCTAGCAGCTGTCTTCTGGTGAGATACACCAAGGAAGGACTGAGAACTGAGAGAAAATGTAGCCCTGTCTCTTGGCTCCGTTTGCCTGGAGCAAAGCTCTGTTAAGCTAAGCTATGGTTCACTATCACAGACTCTTGCTGTTCTTACCAAGTTTTAGTGGATTACATCCTTCTCCTCCTCTTCTCTCTCCCCTTCCGTCTCCCTTTTTGGTGTTACTGGAGTCTGAACCCCAGACCTTCACACTGAGCTACATCCCAGCTCTATGTTATTTCTTATTTTGAGACAGGGTCTTGCTGCGTTGTCTTGGCTGGGCCCGAACTTGTGATCCTCTTGCCTCACCCTCCCAGAGTGCTGGAATTACAGATGTGGACCACCAGGCCTGGAGAGCAGATGCTGAATGAATCTCTCTTCATTTAGCATATGCCTTTATGGCAATTTCTAGACAGTTTAAATGCTTTCAATGTTATTTAATAGTTTTTAAAATCAGTTCTGATTAAAAGTTTTATTTAAGTTTTAAAAGATCCTCTGAACTAGAGTTTTGCATGTTTCATTGTTGTGTTTGTGGAGCTCCTCACATTGCCCTGCTGACAGTAAAACTAATGTGCCATTTTCTTTCCACAATTATTTATAGCTCAACTTTCCTACATTAGCCTGTAGAATTCTAGAAATAACAAATCATATTATCAAGAAGCTACATTTACACCAAACTGCTATAACATAACCATAGAGGAAAGAACTGTTGCAAATTAGTTTAAAGGATAGCATTTTGGTTGTATAGCTGAATACATCTAAAACAAAAAAAATTGCAAAGAAAGTTTAAACTGCATTCAGGAATATCATTATTTGTAATAATATTACTATCTTACTTTCATATATATCCTCATAATCTTAAATTTGAATGGAAACTATTGCTTT